TAATCATAATACTTTCTGGCTGTAATAAATATTACGTTTTTTCGAAATAAATAAAATGATTAATTTAATGCTTATCGTTATTATTTTGTTAGTCTATAAAATTTTTTTTATTTGAATTTTTTGTTCAAGTTACATGAATTTTTAGTGCTCGATATACTTGTCACGTGATTTTCGAAACCGAAAGCTGATTCGTAGATCAGAAGAACTACGGATTACAATTTCCGAATTATTTATATAAGCATTGAATTTCGCTTTACCCACGAGAGAAAAAAAATTTATAAAAAATTTTTTTTTTCTTGTTCTCTAATACCCCCAAACAAAATTTTGCAAAAATTCTCATTATTCCTTTTGCTTATCCCATATACGGACGAAAATTTTATTTTAATACAGAAATATAACAAAAATATAAACAATAAAAATAAGTAAAACTACAATGACTAAGGCTTTGTTTCTTGAATCCGCAAATAAAATAAATGATCTACAAAAAATGAAAAATGAAGAGGAAGAGGAGGAAGAAGAGGAAGAGGAAGCATTTGAACGAAATTTGAAATCTGTCAATGATATTCAAATAAACGAAATCCCAGATCAAACTACCAAAAAAAGACATTAAAGCAATACTGTATTGAAATATATCAACGATGGCAATGATAACGAACAAATTGATCTTGCCTCAATCTCCAAAGACCCAATATCAGGTATACTTTTGTTGCATAAACGAAGATTCAGAATCTCTTTTTATTTCGGTTATCGATTCTGAAAAGTATGAAAAACACAAGAAATGCGAATGGACACTATTTTTAAATTCATAACATCGCCCAAGAACATCGCTGTCTCCTGTAAACAGTTTTTTTATTATTGCTAGGACGACAGGCTAACGAGGATTGGATTATCTGCCAATATGGACGAACACGTGCCTTTTTTTCATGCCATCAACTGCACAATTTCTATTTCTATCTAAATATTTCATTCAATGGCTTCTTATTAACTTCGGCCAATATGACCAACAACTAATCGAGTTAAGAATAACTCATATTAAAACAAATAGATATTAATAGAATATATCAGAGAGTTAAAGTTCCGTGGTCTAGCAACTAGAGTTATTAACCAGGTTGATTGACCCGTACGTGTCACCGCCCCGACGGGTCACGGGTCGAAAATTACTCTAACCGGATCAAACGGGTCAGAAATCAAACCACGCAAAAACCTACTACTGTATAATGCTACTTTACCTAATATAAGATATTATAAGTTATATACTACATAAGTAGTAAAGCTCTTACCCGTGTTGTCCGATCCGTGCGGGTCAGCTTCTTGACAGGCACGTATTTCAAATCGCGAGCAAGGTCGAAAATTTTCAACATAAAATCCGAAAAATTCCAGTTTAAATATTCGGAGCACAGATTTTAACAGCTCTAATTAAGAGTCGTTACGTCATCTTTTAATGATTAACTTCAAAAACTTTATGAATTTCCGTTTGACCCGTTGACCCAGGTTACAACCCGGGTCAAACCCTGACCCGCCCGGGTCGGTATTTTCTGACCCGGGTAAGAACTCTACTAGCAACTTGCAGATTCCTGTTTATATTTAATAACAATATTATTGTCTAATTTTACGAAGATCAATTAACAATCAAAAAATTAATTATTATTACGACAGGGTGAAACTCGCGCTGTGAATTAGTAAAATCCGCTACGTAGATCACAAAACATAGCTAAGCGCGGATTTCACCCTAACGTGATCTACGTAGCGGATTTTACTAATTTACAACGCGGGTTTCGCCAAATCATATTATATTTACTCTCTATTTCAATATTCATTGTATTTTGAAAATCATTTTATTTTGTTCTCAACCATAAAGACCTTTATTAAAGATGAATCACATCATTCAGTCCAAATAATTTGCATAAAATGTCTCTCTATTTCTTTCGCTTATGAGGCAGATCCCATATACAGATGAAAATTTTATTTTAACACAGAAATATAACAATAAAAATAAGTAAAACTACAATGCCAAGAACTTTTATTCTTGAATCTGCAAATAAAATAAAGAGGAAGCATTTGATCGAAATTTTAAATCTGTCAGTGATATTCAAATAAACGAAATCCCGAATCAAACTACATTTAAGCAATACTGTATTGAAATCTATCAACCAGGGCAATTATAACGAACAAATTAGCCTTGCCTCAGTCTCAATGAATTGGCTATCAGATATATTTTTGTTGCATAAACGGAATCTCCTTTTATTTCGGTTATCGATTCGAAAAGTCTGAAAAACACACGAGATGCGAATAGGCACTCTTTATTTTTAAATTCATAACATCGCCCAAAAATATTGCTGTCTCCTGTAAACGGTTTTTTATTATTGCTAGAGACGACCAAACTAAAGAGGAGTGGATTATCTGCCAATATGGACGAACACGTGGCTTTTTTTTCATGCCATCGACTGCACAAACTATGAGTTCTAAACGTCTTATTAACTTTGGCAAATATGATCAATAACTAATCGAATTAAGAATAGTTCATATAGAGGTAGGGCTGGAGGCACGGTAGCCCAGGGCATGCCTCAGGGGCATGCCCCCCTGGGCATGCCTAGGGGCATGCCCTTTTTTCAAAAAATTTATATATAAAAAATTGGCATACAAAAAATTTTAGGGGCATGCCTATAGGGCATGCCCTTAAAACAAAAAAATTGGAGGCATGCCCAGGGGGCATGCCCAAAAAATTTTCCGTGCCTCCAACCCTATATAGAGGACAAATAGATATTAATAGAAAAAATCAGAGAATTAAAGTTCCGTGGTCTAGCAACTTGCAGATTCCATTTTGCGTATTTAATAAATGAAGCACAGTAACAATTAAAAACAGACGACCTTTTACAGAGGCAACTTTTCCACTTGCTGCTGAACCACACGAATAAATGTACGCAATTCAATGACAGGCATTCATCTGATTGGCTAATTTATGAAATGATCATCAACCAATCAAATACATCAAAAAAATTTAGTATTAGCGAAGTCTTTTACTCTTTATTGTATTTAAAAAACATTCTATTTTATTTTCAATCTTATAAACTTTTATTAGAGATGAATCACGTCCTTTAACTTACATACCTACTTTACCATTTAGTCAAACGAAGCTACACCTAATCTAATAGTAGTTACTCTCTTAAAAGTGCATGAATAAGTTACCCTGGAAATTGATTTACATTAGTCAAACGAATGCCTGTCTATGAGTGCGTTCTATCGCGGTCAGAAATTTGATTTTGAACATGAAATTTATTCCTTTCCTCACGACCGCTGAGAAAGTTTAATTATTATCACGTGTGAGAAAATTCAGAAGAATATCCATCTAAGGACGTCTATCGCTATATGTTATCTAAGATTTAGTTCATGCTACCGCTACTATGAAATCTGCAAAAACACAAACAATCTTGTAATACAAGATACATCTTTAATTCTTTTCCCATTTACGCCTTCAACAAAATAGATATTAATAAAAGGCTCATCGAATTAATTAATCTCGGTCTTAAATTAAATTACAATGTTATCGTGGATGTTATTCACTTACTTGAGCACAGATATCTGGGATATTATTATTACTAATCTTTATTGTAAACATGTAACTCCTTATGCGTCATTCTTAAATTTATGTAACATTCGTATAATATTTGTCGTTTTACAATAAACTTATGCCTAAATACTAATACGTAATACACATCTATAGTATGTCGAGATTTTCAGTTTGATCATTTTCATCGTTAACATTCAAAAATGTATGGATTACCTATTTCTTGAATATTAATGTATGGGTTGATCGATGCTGTACGTTATGAATTGGTCATTCTTTTTGAATGTTATGAATTAAACATTCTTAAATCTTGTAAGTTGGAAGTTCTTTGATATTCCTATTGTGTCTATTTACATTATATATCTGGTTTTTTTTTTGCATTTATAATGGTTTTATCTTTCAAGTTCAGTATATTCATCTTAGTTAATATATTATAAATTTTAGGTATTTTTGATTAAAGGTCTTCAGAAAATTATTACAGAAAAGTTGCCAATATCAATTTAGTACGTTAAGAATTGACTTAACATTTTTCAATAGTTTTAAAGGGTTTTCAATTGAGGGCGCTATAAGATATTAGTCATAAGATGAAAAATAATAGGATATTTTTTCCTCGATTTAATATTACTTCCATGTTCTGTTACGCAACATAAGTAACAAAAAAAAATTTCGTATGACCTATATTGATGTTATTGTTTGTACGTACGTACGTACGTAAGTACAGTCGGCTCCATAAGTTTAACACGGTTGCACAAAAACAATAAAAAAAAACAAAATCGGCTAAATCAAACGATAATAAATTGCATAAATTAATATAATATTAGTACATAAGGATTACGTAGTGCAACTATATATTCAGTCTTTAACAGAATATAGGCTTTAATATTTGCTATATATTCTCTGAGGTATTTTTTATAGTTTTTTGTGTAATTGTGTTAAACTTTTGGAGTCGACTGTATGTACGTACGTACATAATTGTTAGTTTGGGACCAGAATTTTTTAAAATACATGCAAACAAATTTGAAGATTTGTAATGCTGTTTTTTTGTTCTTACGATTTGTAACACCCTATAAAAAGAGATACGTATATCCAATTTTGTACATAGCAACCTACGTATTCAAACGGAAATGTATGAATCGATCGATATTTATAAGTGGATATATATATTATGCAATGTTGATTAGTCAAAAAAATTTCGTATCAGTAGATACAAAATAAAAATAATGCGATACGAAAAATTTAATTAAATGCGTCTCTATCTATTCCTTTTACCAATGGAAAGGTACCCATATACAGACAAAAACAAATTTTAAAAGAAAGTTAAGTTTGAAAATTTTTTAATACAAAAATACAAAAATATGAAAATAAAAATAAAAATAAAAAAATAAAACTATAATGACAAAAACATTTTTTCTTGAATTTGCTTCCAATAAAATAAATGGCTTACCAACAACGAAAAAAAGAAGAGGAAGAATTTGAGCGAAAATTGAAATCTGCTAAGGATATCCTAATAAATAAATTCACAGGTCCAACTATCGAAAAAATGCATTCAAATAATACTGCATTGAAATCTATCAATGATGGCAATTATAACGAACAAGATAACGTTGATTCAGATACAAAATTTCAAGAAAAAAATTGACTACCAATATATTTTTGTTGCATAAAAAAATGAGGTCTGTTTCGGTTTCGGAATCTTTTTTTTATTTCGGTTATTGACTCTGAAAAGTCTTTGAAAACACAAGAGATGCGAACTGGCATTCTTTAGGTGTCATTATTAACATTTTAAAAATTATGAATGAGATATTGATAAATATTCTTATAACTTTGCCTAAGATTATCGCTGTCTCCTGTAAACGGTTTTCTATTATCGCTAGAGACAACAAATAAAGTGGTGTGAATTATCTGCTAATATGAACATGGACGTGCATGTGCCCTGTTTTCATGTTATTAGATCAGATCCAACTTTTATTAATCATTCGGTTGCAAAAGCAATGATTGCTAAACGAGTTATTCTATCTATATATTTTATTCAGCAGCTTCTTATTAACTTTGACATAAAGTTCCGTGGTATAAATTTAGCAACTTACAAATTTTCGTTTTTACGTATTTCATAGCTAAGAACAACAATTAGAAACAAACAACTTTGCGCAAAGAGCAGATCTGCATGTAATAAATAGTAAGCTAGATAAAAATATGTAATTCTTATCATGTGTTAGCAAATTCAGAGGAATGACATCTATCACGATACGTTATTGCACGCGCAATATTACTCTATGAAGATTTAATTCATTTACAGAAAAGTATGCTACCATGAAATCTGTGAAGATACAAATGATCTTGTACTACAAGGTGCATTTTTAATTCTTTTTTCCGCCTACTCCTTCAGCAGAAAAGAAAATATACAAGGTATTAATAAAGGCTCATCAAATTAATTATTTCGGCTTTCAATTAAATTTCCATATTATTATGGATGTTTTTCATTTATATGTGCACAGATTAGATGATATATGAATATAGATGGGGTGAAATTCATTTTCAATTTTTTTTTTTTTTTAATTTCAACAATCATTTCAATATTTTTAATATGTTATAATTAAAGATTACATAACTATTTTGTTTGATTCAGCTTAGTTTCAATTAATTTTGATATAATTTTAATATTCTTTCAAGAAAACCATTTTTTCCGTAAATAATTAAACGTCAAGAAAAAGAAGAAAGGTTTTTTGAATCGGAGAAGAAATATAAGCCTTATATATATCTCTTTTATGATAGCGTAAGTAAGCATGGAATATGAGATGACAATTTATTACTGAAAGAGAACAATATTATTCCTTCCGACTTTCAAGAAAAAAATTTTTTCGCAAATAAATTAAACGTCAAGCAAGAAAAAAATGGTGCTTTTTTTCCCGATAATTGGATTCTTAAATAATTTTTGGGTTACATGGCGATAGCAGTTAGGTAATAGGTCACCGTTAGATATCATGTTGCATTGGGGTGTTCGGTCAACTATGTAAATCAAAACTATATGTAGTACCATATAAAAATTAATTATTGAATTTTTTTTTTGAATTTAGTGATCAGAACAATGATTAAGACAGTGAGCAGATGATTTATCACTTTTATATAAATTTAATAGTAAAGAATGATTTGCATGTTTTTAGATGTCTAGAGCGATTTTTTTCAATTATTTTAGCATAAATCTATTTTTAAATATGATTATAACAAAGTTACGTTGAAATTTTTTTATCATTAATACTGTAATTAAATTTCAGGTTGACTCTTTACAAAAATACTGGTTAATATCGCGTACTATTCAAAGGAATGATACTTTCGTTACAGGTAAAAATTTAATACTAAAACATGAAATTTTTTAACGTAACATTGCTATTAACATGTTTAAGAATAGATTTCTGCTAAAATAATTAAAATAGTAAAGTGAATCGCTCTAGACATCTAAAAACATGCAAATCATTCTTTACTATTAAAATTTATATAAAAAGTGATAAATCATCTGCTCACTGTATTAATCATTATTCTACTAAATACAAAAAAAAAATTTCAATAATTAATTTTTATATGGTACTACATATAGTTTTGATGTTGCATGCACGTAGCATAGTGTTACTATTGTTTTGGGAGAGCGTATAGAACTATCGGCACAATTTAACTCCAATAGGTAACTTATATGTTCTTTGTATAGAACTCAAGGTATTTGAATAATAAATAAATGCGATTATAGTAATAACTCAAGCACGTGAGGCTACGTAATTAATCCGTGATCGGGGCACTTAATTATATCTACC